ATTTAAGACCACATCAGGTCTGAGACCTGCTTTCACACTAGTCATTTTTTTCAGAAGATTGACCGCCGACAAAGATTCGCGAGTAACACGGTCATAGTGCTCATTCAATGATAGGGTATTCTTAATTGTCATACCAAGGAACTTAAAGGATTTCACCATTTCAATAGGTGTACCATCAATAGCCAGCTTGACAATTTTCGTGGGAGTAACTCCAAAATACATAGTCTTAGTCTTCGAACTATTAAACGTCAAGTTAAGAGAATTACAATGACTACCAAAAGAGGTAAGTTTACGGCCAAGACACAGGGTATACAGAGGCGTCACGAGCAAAAAACTATTTCCCTCTCTTTCGCACAAAACGAATTCAATAATTTTTTTAGCTGTATTTTATATACCTCTTCTCACCAAACAATTTCAAAATCAAACAAAAGCTGATTTTAGACTTTTTTAAATGTCAAAAGTGACACCTCTGTATACTTTGTGGCCAAGATTCGAAACTGCAGAGTCAAAAAATTCATCATATGAAACAATTAAAAAGTCATCAGCATACTGAAAAACAAATGTGTTAGGGTCCTCAATCGAACAGTGGCCAACACAACATTGTAACCCCTTGATTTCAACAAGGATACACGGAAGATGAAAATTAACATTCTCCATGTATGACTTGAACATTAAGTTAATAATCTTCACAAAAACAGATATTAAAGCTATGGGCCTAAAATTGCGAAAGTCATCCAGTGGTTTGTCCCTTTTGGGTATAGGTACAATCTTGACCTTCCTCCATTCTGGGTGTATATGGCAATTCACAAAGTGTTCATTCAGAACACACAATTTCTGTTGAAAATCAAAAGTATTTTGATTTTCATCAAAACAGTGCGTGTGAGTTTTTTTTCACTAACACAATCAAAAAAAATCGTATGTGTGTAAATTTGTTTAAGAGTTGCCATCACCCTTAATAAACACACAAAAAACAAAATACACAAGGCAGGCAAACCAACAGACATCCAAACATACGAAACGAAATACACTAAAAACAAAAACAAAATACACAACGCAATGAAACCAACAAACATCCAAACATACGAAACTGAATACACTAAGGGCCAATCTTTAGGTGAAAGATTAGCGATTAAATTAAAATTAATCCTCGAAAGATGTATGGAGGTGGTTTAATCTTAAGCAAAAAATGCAAAAGTGTAAACAGCTGATGCAAAAAAATTAATAAAATTTTTATAAATATAAACATTAAAATGTTCCATTTATTGATTAGTATAAATTATGGACACTTCAAAATACATTTTTTTGTTTTTAATTTAAGTTTTCATTAATTTTCATATTAAATTTACCATTGTCTTCTTCTTTTTTATAAAATATGCATTGTTTTGATAACAAACAGTGAAATTTTCTGTTGTTTTGTATGGCAACACTGCGAAGTTTAATCTTGAACTCAAAAACATCAAAGGGGATTAACATAAGATTAAATATATTTTTAGATTAACTAATCTGATTATTAATTGGCATTTGATTACCATCTCAAAAACCCGCTCTAAGAAACAAAAACAACATACACAAGGCAATGAAACACACAGCCATCCAAACACTAAGAAACAAAAACAACATACACAAGGCAATGAAACACACACTGTGTGTCACACAGCCATCCAACGAAATACTCAAAAAACAAAAACAAAATACACGACGCAATGAATAAGCAGTGTTGTTGTTGCTTATTTTTTATGATGGAATTTTTGAAGATTTGGATCCTGAAGATATCTGGGGTCTTCAGAAAACTGATTTTAACAGGCAGACAGACATGGCTTAATCGACTCCGCTATCTATAAGGATTCAGAATATATATACTTTATAGGGTCGGAAAATTATATTTTGGAAATTACAAACGGAATGACAAACGTATATACATATATACCCTTCTCACGAAGGTGAAGGGTATAAAAACACAAATAATTTTTAAACCATAACCACAAATAAAAATCAGGCAATGATTTTTATTTTTTGAAATTAGTTATAAAATTCATTATGCGATATTTACCTTTAAAACACATTAAAAATGATCGGGTTTAAACAGAGATTAATAGAAAATTGGTAAAATTTCTTTACAGAAATTAGATTCGAAAATTAGAAAATTAAAATTCTTTAGGTGATTTTATTCTTTGTTTAGAAAAATAAAAATCATTGATAGATTTATATTTTTTGTTTGAATAAATAAAAATTACTGAGTGAGTATTATTAAAAAAAAAAAAAACAGATAAATAAATTTTTATTGAAACAAAAAAATAATTTTTATGTTCAATTTTTATTATTAAAAATCAAGAAAAAAAATTATTGAAGAAATCGATTAAAAAAGGTCTGGGAAATATTTTGGTACATTCAAAACATTTCTAGGACAATTCTTTCGTACTGATTTTTTTAAACAAAAATTTCATAGATAATAATTATTTTCTGTCTCTGATATAATCACATAAAATCAATTGTGTATTTTTGTAAAGATTATGAATTAAATTTACAATTCATATTCTTTTAATGGCGTAATATGCCACTTTATTTTTTCGTTCTTATTGCGAACTTTGCTTATAAGGAAGGAATTTTACTGGTCCCGCGGAGTTCGTTATAAGCGAGTTTGACTGTAAATACTTAATATAAGAAAGCCATTCATATCTTCCTAAAAAAGTTACTTTTATAAACTTAATTCAGTTATTGTTTAATAAATAACTCTCAAAAAGACAATAAAGACCCGTGATCACTTATATTTTCCATACAAATCGACTTTTATTTAGAAAACTATCTATACCCAGTGTGCTTCGCTACCCTCTCTAACTCTAACTGCTCTAACAGTTTCCCTGATATACGAATTTTTATATTAAATTTATATGGTGTATTTTAAACGAATTTTTGTACTTAAGTCATATGGAGGAGACAGGTCCCCCTAATAAATGTCCGCCCATTTTTCACATAAATGTTCAAATAGATGTTAAAATTCTTTGTACAACATTTAAAGATTCTAGCTAAAATAGTTTCATAGAAAAACGAATTTTTGAATTTAATTTATATGGGAAGTATCACGCCCTTAAAATCTAATCCGCCAATTTATTACCCAAATGTTCACATGGATGTCACAGTAGTTTGTGCAAAATTTTAATTTTAGCTCTAATAGTTTCTCCGATATACGAATTTTTGTGTTCAATCCGTCCCCTTATGAAAGTCCGCAGTTTTCCAGATAAATGAATTTTAGTATTTAATTCATAATGCATCTATATCAATAAAAAATGGTATGTCCAGGACCATCATGTATAAATAGTTAATTTTTTATTGGTTTAAATGCCAACTTTTTACTAATTTCCTGATTGTCTGAAATTGTAAATCTCCATTTTATATACATAATATATTTATAACATTTCCTAACTTTTGTTTAACAATCTTAGTTCTGTTTTCAACGTTTAGAATTATCTATCCAAAATTTTTAAAAATGTGAATCACAATAAAAAGTAAAAAAAAAACATACAATTTTGTACTAAAAATTAAAATTTTTTGAAACCGGTTAACCGAAACATAAAACCTGGATAACCCGGTTAACGGAAAACCAAAAAACCGTTTTTAGGTTAACCGGGTAACCGGTTTATAAACTCCAATTTTGTCCTAAACATTCATGTTGATACTAAAATGTCTCCGAAAGAAATGAGGACTCTAGCTGTAATATTTTCTCAGATATATTTTGTATATGGACCCACTATAGCTAATCTAATTCGTATGTGTTCATATGTATGTCAAAGTTTTGCATACAAAATTTGAGGACTATAGCTCTTGCAGTTTCTGAGATATGCGACTTTCAATACTTATTTTGTATGTGGGCGTGGCACGCCGCCCACTTAAAATATTAAAGTAAAAAGTAGCCTATTGTTCCTTTGAGACATACAGGAAGAGACTGTGAAAAACGGTTCAGCCGTTTAGCTGTCTATAAAGTCCAAACAAACATACAAACACACATTCATTCAAAAGAAGTCCAAACAAACACACATTCATTTATATATATATATGTATATATATATATATATATATATATATATATATATATATATATATATATATATATATATAGATATAAAATTTAAATTTATTGTAAAATCGGGATAACAATAAAAATATGTGATGATTAGAAAATATATGTCAAAGTTTTCCATACAAAATTTGAGGACTGTAGCTCTTGCAGTTTCTGAGATATGCGACTTTTAATACTTATTTTGTATGTGGGCGTGGCACGTCGCCCACTTAAAATATTAAAGTAAAGTAAAAAGTAGCCTATTGTTCCTTTGAGCCATACAGGAAGAGACTGTGAAAATCGGTTCAGCTGTCTATAAAGTCCAAACAAACATACAAACACACATTCATTTTTATATATATAGATATAAAATTTAAATTTATTGTAAAATCGGGATAACAATAAAAATCTGTGATCACTTAAATTTTCCATCAAAATGTATCTATTTATGTATATAAATATCGATATTAAATCTCATTAGGGTGTCCCGAATCTTATGTACGCAGACCTCCTAAGCATGGGAAAAATAAAACTAATGTATTGAAAAGTTTCTTAAAATTTTTAAAAATTACTCAAAATTTCGCAATATTTTATCACTATAAGCTAATTGTGGCTTTTATATTACATTTTGATGAAATAAATAAATAAATAATTTTGCTGGTAAAAATTATAGTTTTAAACACGCCATAAACTTTAATATTACAACAGATTAATAAAATGAAATTATTCCAACCTATATTTTAAACAGTTAACATTTTTTACTGGGGTGCAGAGTGAGTACTCCAGCATTGTGAACATAGGTTAAACATGTCAATTTTCGTTAACATATCTGAGCTAAAACAAATTATAGTAAGGTTATTAGAAAATTAGGCAACATGAGGACACTTTTGCTCTCCACTGTATATCAACTGCAAATACTGTATACAATGGCAGTACTGGTTTCAATGTTTGAGCTAAAAGAAATCTGGCTGCCTGTTTTATATGTCATTAGTTCTTCAAATGTGGCACCACTGTTCCCACGTTATTTACCATCGGAATATAATTAGTGCTACTAAACAATTTTAAATTAAAGAATGATATAATTATTTAATATTTGTTCACTTATATTAATAAAATAATTGAAATTATGTTTAAATTAGTTCTCAACAGATCAACACAAAATGTTTATTTTTTAAACAACATTTATAAGCAGTCAGTGCGCGTAAGAGAATGTTTTGTTTATAATTATGTAAACATTCTAATCAATTCATATAGAACTTTGCAGGTGGTGTTGAAAAAGTTAATAAAGACGTTAGCTCTTATTCCAAAGATACGACAAACTCCAAAAATATTAATGTCACTAAAGATGGAGAAATTAAATCTTCCACAGAGGATGGAGCAACCATAAACAGTCTTGAAGTAACACGACATGTTTGGCAGCCTAGTCCAAGTTTAGAAAAGGGAAAGCTCCTCAGTAATTACAAGAAGTTATCAAAATTCAGATTAACATGTGAGTATATAAGTTAAAAATCCATATTTGCAAGAACTTTTGACTTAATGTCCGAAATTTTAACAAATACATTTATACAACTACATTTGGTCCAAAATCAACATTTTTTATTTCAATCTAAATTTCATGATTGATTTGTAGTTTATTTATCCACTTAGAACCTAAGTATTCTTGAAAACTTTATTCTAATAAATTTTTATATATGGGTCATTTCGTGTCAAGTGATACAAATTTTCAGCTCTATCGGTCCAGAGGGGGTCAAAGTTGGATATTTTGTTCATATAGGGTTTTATTCAAATGAGTTAACTTTTCACGTATTGGTTCTAGCAAAAATTGTCCAAAGGAGTTCAGATAGCTATTCCATAATTGTTTCATTTTTTATATATTTTTTTTTTAGTTTTTTATTTTTTTAAAATGAGCCTTTATTTATTAGTATTACTAATACTTTTAATACTTATTAGCTAATCATCAAGTAAATTTTCAGCTCTATAAAAATACAGTTGTATTGTTTTAAACAAAGTCTACACATTCTTTTCTAAAAACATATTAATTTCTTTCTTTTTTTATATTTGTTGGCATATGGTTTAAGTCTTTTATATAAATTAAATAAGTGCGGAGTTGAGTTATTTGATGATCGCAGTCTAAAGTCATCTGCATTTCTCAGACTATGTATATGGTTGTAGATCACCTACATAATTTTATTGTTCGCACAGATAGGCTGGTGCTTTTTTGTATAAATAATATAGTATTTAACCTTAGTCTTTTGTGCTCAAAAGAAAGCTTATACAATTTCCTTTAACGACTTTATAGTCTCAGAATGGCATGCGAGAGGGATATCTATCAAAAAACTTTTTAACTCAAGAATAAGATATTTTGAATATGTGTCACTTAATTTTCCCCTATTTTTTCCAGTCCTTCGTATACAGTATACAATAATGCTACCAATAAAAACTTATTATTTTGGACAAGAAGAAATTTTAGATCCGATGATTAGAGTTAGTTATTGGCATTGTCACCTTCTGTATGTTACTGTTTGTTGTTTAAATTAGTGAATACTAGAACAAATATTATTAATTTCACATTTTAAGTGATCGCAATATAATATGAATGCTATATCTTGTTTGAAACGACAACGGTCCGAGTTATTGTAATGAAATAATTACTTTCAAAGTTATACGCCCCTAGTCTGTATTTCGATTACGTTTACGCATTCAGTTACGCTACGATCGAAAAAATGTATTCCAACAAAAAACTGAATCGTAAGAAAAAGAAGAAGCAATTCCATTTCGTTTCAATGCTTTACGATTGAGTGTATTCTGCATTACGATCAAAGCTTCGTTTTTTCAAGTTGTTTTTTATGTGGCGGAGAGTCGAATCGAAATACAGACTACCAAAGTTGCCAAAAGGAAAAAATTTCGACTCGAATTGAAATGCAGAATAGGGGTGACAATATCGTATTCTAATGTATCACAAAGAACAAACAATAGCCGATCCCAAACTATGGGACTTTAAATAACAAAATATCCATGGAAAAAGTCCATTTACATATAAATAATATTTCAATTAACAAAAATTTCAAGTTTCATGTTATCATATTAAAAAGTAATTATAAAATATAAACAGATAAATTTTGTTAATATCATTAAACCAAAAACGTATTTAAATAATCTGTATACAAACATTGTTTCGGCGTCAATCCGATATGGTTCAGTGTAAATGCACAAAAAGAATAAAACTTAAAGAATTATTAGTTTTATAAAAGGAGAAGATTTGTCTTCCTTTATTTATATATTACCTTAAGCATGTATGCACAACAAGAAGTGCTCTTTAAGGCTTCTATATGACGAGAGGTAAACAACTACTACTTTCTAAGTATGGAGGCTAACAAAGTTTAAATACAGTTAGCGGTTTACTCGTTGAAATAATAATAGTTTTCCATCAAAGATGTAAACTAAAGTAGTAAATCATTAGGATTTACACTTAGAGGAAAAATACCGCAAATAATCGATTTGTACTTAAACATTGCCGGCCCCCTTGCAACACTTAAGGTGTTGTAACTAAATAAATGACGAGTCATGAAGGACTCTCGTGGACTGTTTTTTCCAAATTAAAATGAGCCATGATCAGACTCCAGTTTTTTCTACTTGGGTCATTATGGACCCGTTTGAGCCATGATGAGACTCTGGTTGAGCCATGATGAGACTCTGGTTGAGCCATTAAGAGACTCTGGTTGAGCCATGATGAGACTCCGGTTGAATCACTTAGGACTCTTGCTATATTAAAAATAATTTAGGAAAAGGTTAGTAAAGTAAATTGATATATAGTGATCATTTAGGAATTCGAAACAACAAGTCTGCCATACAAAGCGATCAATAGTAAAATTATTTAAAAATTCTTCTTTCCATCTTTTACGATTCTATTAATACAGCGTTAGGGATAGACGTAAATCTCGAATTATCTATATTTAAATATTACCTCGTAAAAGGTTATAGTAAGTGTTTGCACGTAGTGCCTTGTCGTAGACGAAATGAAAAATAATGATTTACAAATATTTTAATTAGTAGCGGTTCTATTACAGATTGATAAACTAACTAGTTCCTACATCATTTGGGTTCATTACGATTCCATGTTGGAATGTAGCTATTTTTAGTTGGCCTATATCTTTCCTTCGTAGTAGATGAAATAATACTATTTACAGGACCGGTTAATATCCAACCAAATACTGTATTTTGAGCCAATAATGATCCGAGTACTTTTTTCCTAATTCCGGGTAAAATAAGCTGGGGGTATACATCAGCTCCTAATAATAATACCACGGGTCTGTTCCCGAAGGGATTCGAATCTGCCAAATGATGATTTGGCAATTTGTCGGCATTAACCGAAACCGAAGGCAGATTTCCTGAAATGCTTGGCAAAACAGATGCCGAAGTGTTTAATAAAAATGATGAATCAGTACTAGAACCTATTATCAAATTACAAGTCTTCGTCGAAATGGCCGAAAATTCCTCATTTACGCCCGAAAACTTCGCTGCTTCGGAAATGGTTGGAATTTTGAATCTTTTCCTCAACTTTTCAGAAATAATAGTACATTCTGAAGCAGGGTCAATTAAAGCTCTAACTTGATATCTACAACCATTGTGTATCAAGTCGACAGTTGCTGTACCCAATAGAACAGAATGATTTCGACGAGTATGGAATACTTGTTGTTCAGTAATGGTTCCTGTCGTAGTAGGTCTTCCAGCTGTTGTACCTGACAAAGTGGGCAGATGGTCATTAGGAGTTGGATTAGTGGGTCGTAGAACCACACTAGAATTGTCATCTAATGAAGTAGGAGGTACATTGCTAGTCAGTGTACCCAAAGGAGTAGAATAATTTTGACTAGTATGAAATACTTGTCGTTCAACTATAGTGCCTGACGTAGTCGGTCTTTCTACCAATGCAGTTGACGTGTTAGTAGGTCGTTGGTCATTAGGAGTGTGATTGTATGGTCGTAAAACCAAAGAAGAGTTGTCATCTAATGACTCAGTAAGTGCATTTCTAGAGTTTTGCGAAGCTGAAGAATCCCGATGTAGTGAAGTATGGTGCCGCTTATTACAAATAGAACAACGATGTTCACTTAAACAATCATTAACTTCATGTGAGTTAGCTAGACAATTTATGCAGCAATGAAATTTTTTAACCGTTCTAAATCTCTCAGTAATAGACATTCTATCAAACTGACGGCAAAAACGAAGTAAATGACCCGGTTTTTTACATAAAACACAAGCATTCGTAGGACTTGTATTCAAAACATGTGTCTTTTCCTTGCGTTCAATGCCTTCCTTATCAGTATTGGAACTCTTAAGATCGCGTATGCAATCTAACGTTTGGATTCTTTCGGTCAAAAACATGTCCAAATCTTTCCATAAAGATAAGGCAGTTTTGTCCTTAACACTTTGTTCCCATAGTGTCACTGTCTGAGAGGGCAGTCTTTGTATGCAAGTAAAAACGATAATTGGATCCCAATTTTGAGTGGGAATCTCATATATCGACCTTTTCAAAGAGGAACTAGTCTCTTCTGTTATTGTCTCTAAACCAAACAAACACTTTAACTGATTATTAACTAGCATTCGAGGATTTTCGTATGTATCTTTTAAACTTTTCCACGCTATATCAAACCCAGCATTAGTCAACGGACATTTAGATACAATTTCTCTCGCTTCGTTATCTGTTCTTTTCACTAAATAACATAATCGTTCGATATTACTCAGCCGACTGTTATTAATATATAAAGCAGTGAAAAGATCCCTAAATGTAGGCCATGAGAGATAATCGCCGTTGAAGATGTCCGTATCACATGGCGGAAGAGGTAGATTATGACTAACATTATCAAAATTTGAATCATTGTTTGGATGATGGGAAACTTTAGGCTTAGTCTTTGCTTCCAATTCATCAATCTTAATTTTTATCGACTTTGAACATCGCGCATAAACATTAAGGGTACTCTGGAATTTACTTTCAGCCACTTGAATATCTTCTGGCTCAGCGTCTTCAGAAGGTTCAAGATCGTCTAAACACTTATCGAAAGTAATTTTCACCTTTTCCCAACACATCTTCAATTCACTTTCCAAAACTTCGAAGTAGTACACGTGATGTTCTTCCTCGCGTATATTATTAAAGTTTGCCTCAAATTTTATAACGGCGTCTGAGGCACGAGTGAAACGTTCGAGGGCTGTCAAAGGCATTTTTCACAATTTTAAGATTGGATTTATTTTGGTAAAATACTATAAAAATAGGAAGCAGCTTTCAAAAATCACAAAAAATCGAAATTGTATTGTTACTTTCCAAACAAATTATTAAAAGTCAAATCGACCGACCGTAGGGTAACTAACAATAAATTAGTAAAAGGAGGAAGAAGAAGAATTTTATCTTTCACAACACAATTACTAATATTAAATTTGTGTGAACAAACCTTGCATTAAATGCAGTCACGAATTATTTTGATCACTATTTATTTCACTCAAAAATTAACACCAAAATAATTTTCTTTAAATAGTGAAAAGTTAATTTTTTATTAATTTGCCGAAAAACAAATGCAATTTTTAATTATCAATTATGGCTGTTGTCCAATGTAAACAAACGCAGCCTTGATTATAAAAGTACCGATCACTATCTGTCAACAGGTACTGTATAAAATATAATCGCGCAAGGATGTATTAAATAGGGATTAAAATTAATTCACAATAAATTATTATAAATTATTAATTCCCTTTTTTTGACAATAGACACTTGTTGTTTTCTTTGCTTTTTTCTTTATAAAACACACACACGTATATACATACTATGTATTTATGTATGTTTATATACTTTTTTCCTTTTGACACAATCACTTTAATATCAATTTACTAACCTTATTTAAATTAAGGCTTAAAGAAATCTCCAACAAAATTCCTTGGCAAGGAGTCTTCCTTTCATACGTTGGAGTATGTCCTTCTTAGTGTTTTATCCTCGATTCGAAAAGAGCATGTAATTATTCGGTTCGAAGCGACCAATGTTTCGGCGTCAATCCGATATGGTTCAGTGTAAATGCACAAAAAGAATAAAACACAAAGAATTATTAGTTTTATAAAAGGAGAAGATTTGTCTTCCTTTATTTATATATTACCTTAAGCATGTATGCACAACAAGAAGTGCTCTTTAAGGCTTCTATATGACGAGAGGTAAACAACTACTACTTTCTAAGTATGGAGGCTAACAAAGTTTAAATACAGTTAGCGGTTTACTCGTTGAAATAATAATAGTTTTCCATCAAAGATGTAAACTAAAGTAGTAAATCATTAGGATTTACACTTAGAGGAAAAATACCGCAAATAATCGATTTGTACTTAAACAAACATACTTACTTTTATTATGTAAATTTTGCACCTAATTAACTTCACCATAAATGAGAACTCAATATTAATGTTAATACTTATTGAGACTTTTTTTTAATACAATGAAAGTATTTTAACCGTCTTGTCTATACCCGAGCAAAATTACGTACATCAATACCCAACATACCCTGGTATGTCATACAATTTATATGGCTATTTCATCTTTTTATACATTTCTATATATAATTCAGATTATTATTAAAACTAATTTAATAATATGTCTGTATATATAAATTAAATAGTTTTTTATCATAAACCATTAAATTTTAGCATTTTTTTTAAGTTTTCTTATTGCTTTCCTATTAACAAAAATATCATAGGCAAAAAACCTAAAGAAAAACGCCTTCATAACGTATAATGTACATTATGCAGAATTTTACTTTGTAAAATTTTTACTTCAAGAAGCTATTACTCAGTGACCGGGAAAGATAGTTGAACAAAACTTTTTATATATTATTTATTAAGGTGTATAAAATCGATTAGCATTAAAGAAATTGTTTTTGCTTTCATAAGTAGGGAACTTTTTTGCAAAAAAGATTGCTAAGTCATGGTCAAAAATTAAAATTTTAAAATTTAAACTTAAATATTTTTGTTTATATGAGAATAAAATTATTATAATCAACATAATTTTACTTTACTAAGTCATATGCAATAAAAAAATTATTTCATAAAAATCGGCCCATATTTGTTAATGTTACAGGGTCCACAAATATATCACAATTCAAATTTATGAATAAAGACACAAGACTCTGTATTTGAAACTAAATTTGTTGTTTAGTTAAATTTTTTTCATAAGATACAAGAATATATATAATTCTAATAATAAAACATAAAATTTAAAATGAAACTTAATTTTTGTCCGATAACTGACATATATGTAATTTGTATACGAGGTAAAAATAGAAAATCGGACATAAATCGGTTTAATATAAATATATCTAACAAATTTTTGGAAAATGTATAGAAAACATTACTCTGAAAGCATAGTCCATAGCCGATACGATATATAGATCTCGAGATATATCACTTCAAAAATGAAAAACATACCCGGGTATGTGGTTAAACAAAAAACATATGTACACTTAAACAGTAATGTATTATTCTAATTTACAATAATGAGTTTAAGCACCATGCTTTTACAATAATTTAAGTGTTAAAACTATAAATTAAAATTAATGTAATAATATGCATTTGCTCCCGAAGCTAAAATTTTTAAAGACCAAATTAAAATGCCCTCAAACTCGCTTATAACGAACTTTGTTATAACGAATTCTCGGTTGTTACGAACAATTTTTCAAGTTCCGATATTTTGGTAACTATTTTCATACAAAAAATCATCTCTTATAACGAACTCAGTTATTACGAATCTTTGGATAAAACGAACTACTTTTTTGTAAAGAAATATATTAACATATAACATCAATAGTGTTTTTTTTTTGTAAAGAATATTAAATAAATTATATTTAATTTTCTTTTAATTTCGTAAAATGCCACTTTAATTTCGACATCCATTAAAAAAAAAACTGAAATTAAAGAATGGGCTAACAACCAAAACATATGGGCAATTCCATACGATTGTATGTGACGTTCCTACGCTTTCAGAGTGGTATAGATTTTGTAAAAATAGGAGTACACTTTTGTCATTCTGTTCAATTTAGAGAATACTATATTTGCAAAAGGAATAATATATTTGCATTTGGAACCTTGTTTCCAAAAATATGGATTAAAATATGGCGATATCATACGTGACTAAAAACAGAAGTGTATTTGTTTTAATTTGTTACACCATGGGACATATTTTTCATTCGTAATCGATAATTTTTAAATAAAAAAAAATAAATTTTACAATGAACATTTTTCAATATACCTATTAATTTTACATTTCAGCACTTGTGGTAATAACAGCAATGGGCGGATATGCCATGGCTCCGGCGCCATTTGATCCAGCATCGTTTTTGTTATGTTCTTTAGGTACTGGTCTTGTTTCAGCAGCGGCAAATTCTATTAATCAATACCATGAAGTTCCATTCGATTCGCAAATGTCAAGAACGAAAAGTCGGGTGCTTGTGACAGGACAATTGACACCGTTACATGCGGTAGGATTTGCTGTGGTTTCAGCCGCTTCTGGACTAAGTATGTTGTACTTTGGAGTAAATGGCCTTACAGCAGCCTTAGGACTTGGCAATCTTTTCCTATATACATCAATTTACACCCCAATGAAACGAATGTCAATACTGAACACATGGGTGGGATCTGCTGTCGGTGCTATTCCTCCATTAATGGGTTGGGCAGGTTGTTGTGGTAGTCTGGATGCGGGAGCTTGGATATTAGCTGGTTTGTTATATGCATGGCAGTTCCCTCATTTTAATGCGCTATCTTGGAACTTAAGACCAGACTATTCGCGTGCTGGATACCGTATGATGGCTGTAACAAACCCGGGCTTATGCAGACGAACAGCTTTAAGATATACATTTATTATCGGTGCCCTTTCTTGTATTGCCCCAGTGTTAGATGTAACTAATTATTGGTTTGCTCTGGAAACGTTACCTTTAAATGGATACTTTTGTTATTTAGGTGAGTTTTTCTGTCTAAATTATGTATATATGTTTAATTTCCTAATAAACAAGAAAGATTCCTGTATTCGGCTGTACCGAATATTATATATCCTTCTTCATGATGTGTTAAAATATCTGTCAGTATAAATTTTATTACAAAAAATAAAAAAATACCAGTTAAACGCAAAATTCCCACTTAATCCGGGCTCTACATACTTAATTACATGTTTCTAGCTTTAATATTATAGTAAATTCAAAAAAGGCCTTTTGAAGAACGAAAATGTTCAAAAAGTTCTCTTTTATAAGTTCTCACTTAATCTGGGCTCTACATACTTAATTTCATGTATCTAGGTTTAATATTATAGAAAATTTATAAAGTACCCTTTTGAAGAACAAAAAAGTACCAAATTGTCCCATTTTATAGGTTCTTACTTAATCCGGGCTCTGCATGCTTAATTTCATGTTTCTAGATTCAATTGATAGAAAATTCAAAAAGGAATTTTTGAAGAACGAAAAAGTACCAAAAAGTCTTATTTTTTGCTCCCCCGAATTAATTGCCACTTTAGGTGCCATCGAACCCACTGTGCAACGTAACGTGTTGTTCTTTCTTTGCTTTGTTTTTTTTAAACAAGGAAGTACAATAACAAAATTTCCGTTTGTTTATGTGTGTTGTTGTTGCTTGTTTATTATTTCTGTCTCAACATGCATGAAAAATCGCAATTTTAAATTTTCAGAGGTTGTCTCGGACTCCAAGACAACCGTTATTTATGAACAGATTTTACTGATTTAAATTGGAAACTTCACGAAAGCATATCTGACAGAATTATTAAAGATTTGCATCCCGTAGATACCTGGGGCCTTCAGAAAATTGTTTTTAACAAACATACAGATAGACAGACGGACATAGCTTAATCGACACCCCATCTTTAAGGACACCTTCTCACGAAAATGAAGGGTATAAAAATAATTGCCAAAAGATACAGTTAATCCTTTCGCTACAAGTTTTAATTGGCTGGTTCAAAAAATCTAATTTTTTGAATTTGTGCTACTATTACCGTAGAAACAATAAGCCAGCAAAAAAGACGTGCAAAAAAGTAGTAAATACATGGGTTCAACTGATAATTAACTGGTTCATATTTAGGTGAAACAAGCATGATTTTAACATTAGTATGTACATATATTCGTATTAACAATTTTGTTAAACAAATTTTAAAGTTTTAAGAAAATCTCCATTAAAAGTGAGGAAAGATATGTAGAAAAGTCACTACAAATAACATATTCGAACTACATCAAACTTTGATGAAGAACCCATGAAATTTATATAAGCAAGACGTTGAAAGAATGTGGTTTGGCATCCAAATATCGAATTTTTACTGCTTCTAAAAATAAGATTAGACGTAGTTCAAAGTTGTCAAAATTGAACAACATCCCTCCAATGACACGCTAATGTAAAATTCATAGATTTTTCACCAAAATTGGAAGTATGTTATTTGTGGTGAAAATTCTATTTTTTTTCCTCATCCAAATATCGAATTTTTACTGCTTCTAAAAATGAGATTAGACGTATGTAGTTCAAAGTAGTCAAAATTGCACAACATCCCTCCAATGACACGCTAATGTAAAATTAATAGATTTTTCACCAAAATTGGAAGTACTTCAAGTATGTTATTTGAGGTGAAGATTCTACTTTTTTTTGCTGGGATATGGACAAAATATTTGATGCCTTTTGCGAGAAAATGGTGGGTGATAGAGAAAAACTGGTTTCAGCAGCTAAAAATACATTAATTGTAGTCGAATTGGTTTCATAATCATATATCGAAATCATCGAAATTATTAAAAAAAATTAAATTTGAGAGTCCTTTATTTTTCTATGCATTTTTTTATTTCAGCAACGTCTGTACCGTATCAGCATCTGAATACAAATGACAATGTTTTTTTTATACACCAAAAACATTACCTGAACATTAATTTGTATCCATATGGATCAGTGGTGCTCAAACACATACTCCCATAGACCACCATAGTTTTATTTGTGTTGGAAAAGCAGCAGAGATCAGAATTCGTTTCAAAATAAAATGACTACAAACAATAGAGTATATGCTAACTGTCAAGTATTTAGTATGCATTTTGACAGCCAGCGTATATCAAAGTCTATATATAAAAAACTATCAACTGTTCTCTATCATTCTCTTCTCAGCTTTCTCAAAATTTTGTTGTTGTATTTCTGTGTGTTTTTTAAAAAAGTTGCGCACAGACCTTGCTTTGACAAGTGCTGATCAGCAACTGATTTGATTTTGTTTTTCAAGTTGAGAGCAAACCAACTGATATTGCTCATAAGAGGAAGAAGAAATAAACTAGTGTATGTGTATCAACTTAGCGTCAGCAGAATTTTCTTACCCTATCACGCGTGCTATGAAATCTCAATATTGAACTCCTCTGATATGGATACATGCAATTTTTAAAGAATTCCTACGATTTTCTGAATTTTTAAAATTAACAACTTTTAATGGAAAGGATTAAAAAGAAAATACTAAACCCTCCACCATTATCAGTGGTGATAGAAAGTATATCGTCACCTGAAACGCAAACGGCCCTAACTAACCAAAAATTCAAAATCGATTTTATTGTTGATTATAATGTATTGCATCAAAACATATGTATTGCATCAAAACATATGTCCACACAAAAAATTGGACTCCTCCGACCAAAATTAGCGATTTCATTGACATATGAATTTTCTCCGTTATTGCATCCATAATTACTGGGGCACTAGACGTATATTTAGCAGTCAAATCTGCATTTTCGTTGCCAGGGATGCCAATGTGGCTTGGGAGCCAATAAATTTTTACCTTATTCTCGTTTCCTATAAGTAACTCGCGTATTTTGATGGTAATGTTCCATTTGTTGTTGAAAGTGCTTAAAATAGCTTTCATCACCGACAGGCTGTCAGTGGAAATAATACATTTCATTTTTTCAGCTAAGACGAGACGGATCGCCTGGTATATGGCACAAGCTTCCGCCATAAAAACAGATGAGTAGTCTTGAAGAGTTTTTAAGATGAGGTTCCTACCGTCTTCGCCTACAACGGCATATGCCGGAAGGGTGTCTTGCTATTTGGTGCCATCGGTATGTAAAAAGTGCCATCCTTTGGATTTTAGTTTATCTTTCTGTTCTGCTGAGGAAGGTAATATCGGAAGTTTCACTCTTTTTGAGTTTGGACAGAGAAAGATCAATACTGGAGTAATTGAATATCCAAGGCGCCTTCTTAATAACTTTTTTTGACATTTTATGTTGCAAGTTTAACTCTTCTGTCAGAGCAAAGGACTTTGCAATCGCTGAAATTATTCTCTTTGGCTTTTTACTATTAATAATAGAGGTGATGTCCTTGTCAATGACAGAATTGGTACTGTTTAGAAGTTTTGGTAAATACCTTGCTTTGACCTCATAAATTCTGTCTTCTATACTGGGGAGACTCGTTTCAGCAAGCATATTGCTAATCGGCGTGGTTCTGAAGGCATATACACATGCCCGGACAGCACGGTGGTAAGTTGGTTTTATTATATTTAAACTAGTTTTGCAGGAATTGCCGTAAAGAATGAGACCGTAGTCTATTTTTGATAAAACGAGAGTTTTAGTTAAGTATGACAAAGTGTTGATATGCACGAAGCTCTTATGTGATAAATAGCGAATAATGTTTACCCTAGGCAACAGAGAGTTTTTAAGTTGAAGCAGGTGTTCTTTCCAACTGTAGTTGTGTGAAGAAATATAACGCCTAAGGCTTTTAGCTTATTTACATTTTGTATATTCGTACCATCAGGTTGTATTGAGTAGTTATTAGAATCACAATTGTGCTTACGGCATATATGAAATTTCTTTGTTTTATCTAAAGAGATTTTTGCCCCGGAATATTTGGTCCAGTTGTTTATTTTTTGGAGGAGGCCTGTTAAAATATCAGTTGTCTCACTATTGTCATTCTTCTTACAAAAAATATATAAATCATAAAGACAATGATCTAAAATCTGGTGAACATACATAATTTTACTGATTTCGTTAAAAGCAATCTGAAATAGGACTACCGACAGCGGTGATCCTTGTGGTATACCGTTACTTAGAGGAAATGATTTTGATAAAGTTCCATTAACTCTGACTTTAAACCGTCTATTTGCCAAGAAAGATTTTATAAAGTTGAATATTTTAGGACCAATCGGCCAAGACTTTAAAACGTTTAAAATAACATGTGACCCAATTCTATGAAATGTTTTTTCAAAATCAATTGAAAGAGCAGTGACATGGTTTTTTGCAGAAAGGGCATTGGTGATGTAGTAGTCCATATGCAGCAGTGCATCATCGCACCCCTTATTGGCTTTAAAAGCAACTTGCTCCTTAGCGATTAGTTTTTTTGTTTCCATAAACCAAGACATTCTTGCAGCAATAAAGGAACCAACCGTTGCAGGATTTTTATTTTTTGGTATGGGAACTACTACTGCCAGCTTCCAGGTGTGTGGCAATACGCCACTGTTAAAAATAGTGTTGTAGGCTTCTAGTAGTTTTAATTTCGATGTATGCTTAAGGTGTTTAATCATTTGATATGAAATGCGATCTAAGCCTGGCGTAGTGCCCTTTACTTTACTTAGGCAGTTGTTTAGTTCTGACAAACAAATTGGAACTTCATGCTGACTGGCAATCCTATATTGTGTGCTATTTATGACTATTAAGTTGACTGAGTTCTTGGCCGAGTTAAATAAAGGTGGAAAGTTTTCATCTGAACTATACTTGGCCCATTCCTCACCCAAATGGTTAGCGATTTTGTTTGGATCAGGGATTGACTCATGCTGTGTGTTAATGGTCTTGATAACGTTAGTAGATGATTCTCGTGTAATTCTGTTGATTTTATTCCAAACTGTTGAGATGGGCGTGTCCCTATTTATATCCTCAGTGAAACGTTTAAAGCTTACAATTTTTGCTTTCCTTAATTAAATAAAACCGCGTTTTGCTTTTTATATGCAATTAAATTCTCTT